TCCACATTTTATGAAGTCATCTATAAATCATAATAAATACTACTGTACCTATACAATCTGAAAAAAAAGGTTCTTTGTGGCCCGTTGACGTGTTGCCGACCTTACAATAATTCATCAATCGTATTAAATCTATAATTCCGGTGGAATTGTAGACCATTCCTGATCATTCAATTAAAGCTGCTGTTATTCAGACAATTTAAATTAAAAAAAAATCCACCAAACCGATACGAAAAAGTTCAAGGAATAAAATTGGTCGTATTGGGAATGCGATTTGAATACAATTATTATATGTGTTGGTTATTTTTACCGCATCTGAATTGATAGGTTTAGGTAGTCGTATAGAGTAGGGTCGTCTACCCGAAAATTTAATTCAAAAATATATTTGAAATTTTTATGAACAACCCGCCAGCTAGGTGACCTGACAACACCAAATGTTTTATTTGATAAACTATAATATTATTGCAAACAATAATAATATTTTTTTTACGAAATAATAATTACACAAAAAATTACCTTATTGTGGCCCAATACTAATACTTAAAAATAAAGCTTTACAATAATATACCTATAATGATTTAAAGTTGAGTTAAACTGTTAACTTCAACTTTTATATTATGTAAAAGGCTTAAGATGTATAACATTTACAAAAATATGTGTTTCTTATCACTTTCCATTTAAGTTCATAAATTGTAACTTTCCATACATTTTTGTAATGATATCATAAAATCAATTTATATAGGTATTTTATTATAGTATTGATATTATTTGTTGGTCCTATCAAATTATATTGATCCAGACGAATATTAGCGATTCGGTACCATACCATGCTGTTATATGTGAGACTATCATAACGTGCAAATAATTAGATGACTTAGATTTAGTTAACAAGTATATAGGCATTTTGTTGTAAATTGACTTTTAACATTTATACTAAGTTGGTTAAACAATTTACTTAACTATTCGTTTTAAACTCAATAATAACTGTAAGTGGTAACTTCGTTAACCTTTTCTCGGTTTTCTTCATAAATGTGTTACCCGCTATTATAAAGACGCTACTAATGAGCGCTGCTCACATGTTAAATTGCATTTTTCTCTATAGGAAACGACGAACATATTCATATTATATTAACGGTACACTGTAATGATATATATATCACGCAGTGTGACGTATTGTATACATTATGCATAATATCGTTGTGTGATATTCAAATGTGTTAAGACAAAGTTTTGGTTATTTACACGGAAATGCTGCAAATGAATAATAAAAAAAAAAGGCTTTATACATTTCACACAAATAATTTTAACAACGACGCAGGATTACTTTTTCTGTACGTGGTGTAAAAATCCACACTTGCATGATTATATTATATACATCTTGTCCAACCCTTTATGAATTTAATTATTCAAAACTCCAATCGGCAGCTAAACACATATGCTGCGTGCACGAGGGTAAATTTTCCTGAAAATGTGATTATCATTATCCAATTTTGTTATCATATTATACATAGTATGAACACGACTCGTAAGTACTTTTTGAATCCTTTAATTTTCCATTACGGTGTTATATTATATAGCGTATCTTTATTTTATAATAACGTTATATTTTAAGTTATTTTTCATCAAATTACCTCATTTTCTCTATAATTTATTTATCATAATATACTATACTATAATATTATTATATGACGGTACTTATGTTACACATTAATAATTTGTGTTATAAAATATATAACATTTTATGCTAGTAGGCATATATTAATTATACACCACGGATAGTTACTATAATATTATGTATAGGTACTGAAGTTATAATATTAGATACACAATATGATAATTGTGTTGTTTGGCAATATGAGTTATATCATATTTTGAACTTTAATTATTATTGAAATGTTTTCCATACTGTTAAAGAAAGTCGTGTAAAAAAAGCAATATTAAAATAATTTAGTAAAACTTCTATATTATTTTGTTGTTATAGACACTGAACAGTGAGCTCAGCACAGTGTGTATTGATTCTACACTAATGTGGGGTTTTTTTTAGTGATTAAGTGATTTTCGTCATATTTTTGAGCAGTTTGACATATCAAAATAATAATGCGAAAATAAATTATTAATAATATTATAAATCAATTATAAAATATTATCCCTAGAAATGAAGTCAGTTATAGCTCAGTCTCGAATGTGCATTGATTGTAAATGCATTGAGTTTAAATTTACCTAATACGACAGATCAACTTAATGACGTGGTACACTCGACACATATACTATACAGCAGAGTAACTTCCTCGGTTTTTTATTCATAAAAACGTTTTCTTTTTTTTTTTTACTATGTTTCCTTTTACTTTTAGGTTTACAATTTATCTCTATACATAAAATAAATGTTACAGTACGACAAAAAACATGAACCCATTTATTTCAAGTAACTTTTGTGTACACTTAAGAATTATATTTAAGTATTTTAATCTATTATAGTATTTATTTATTATTTAAAAATAAATTACGGTTTATATGCACCTGTACTATAGCTTAATGTAGGACAGTTGAAATCTGATGTTGAAACCATAAATTTCGCAACCTAAATGAAATAGGAAATAAAATTATGAAAACAATTTACCGAAACGTATCCTATTCCTATATCATATAATATATTCATAATTATTTTAGTAAAAATTAAAAAGCCCTGTTTATGATATACCTAGTTGATTAACGATATTTGCATTTAAGAATAATGCAATTTTGCTTTAATGTTAACATTTTATAACCATGGAAAAATTAACTACCTACTGTTAACTACTATGGAAATTGTTATTAGATATATCTTATGTTTTGTTTATTTTGTTAGGTGTATACATTTTATTAATTGCTCCTATAATATTTATGTAATTAAAAATGTATAATGTAATATTTATAATATATATCAACTAAATGGTTTCAAATTTAAACTTTTTGTTGGCTTATGTTATTGATATTATACAAAACAAATAATCGATTGTTTGCCAAAATACTAAACCAAAAATAACACAAAGATATATGTTACACATAAAGAAGGTCGTATAACATATAATAAAATTATAAGATAATAAAGAAATGAAGTGTTTGTTTATGCAAGTTAGAATAAAAATAAAAAATATTTACTTCAAATCAACACTGTGTTTTGAGATGTAAATTGTATAATATGAAGGTTGAAAACACTTGGAAAATTATTAGAATTTTTATATTGAAATACATAATATTATAATTTAAACGTTCACTGATTTTTAAAAATATTTATAAAATTAGAGTATGGAATTAAATATTAATGTCTGTTATCAATTATTAATTACATTTTTAAGGTGCAAATCATTTTACCAAAATATTTTACTATTTATTTGGTAATACAAATTTGATTTATTTCCAATGCGCAATATAATTTCATAAACTTATGGAACTGTTATGGAGTAATAACATGTCTAATAAGTGGTAATATTACTTGTAATGTCCAATATAAAACCATAACGGTGTAAGTAATTTATAACTGATATTTACATAATATAGTTTTGTCAACGTTAAAATGAACCTAGGTACTGCACACAATTTAAACGCAACATATATTATTATGATGATTACATTACAAATATAGCAAATTTCAACTATTATTAACGATTTATTTTTCGTCGTCATGAAATATTTCATGTAATTTAAAAACTCCAACGTAGTATGAACACTTAGTCGCACTTATATCATATCCGTCTCTACGTAGATCGCACACAGTCGACGCTAAATATATACGTATAATATTATAAAAGTCTGTGATAATGAAACATAGTTTTATATTATGTTTTTGTTTTCATTATTCGAATGGTTTTAAATTATAATATATAGCTGATCCCGTGCACTTCGTTACCCGTTAAATGTACCAACTCTATATGACTAAAATTTGGTTCAATTCGTTATTTAATATTCGGTGTATTGTGTTCAAAATTTATCTTTACTTTTCCGTTGTCCTGAATAAAAATTCTGTTCGCAGCAGTATATTATCAGGTAGGCAATCTAACTGCGGTAGATCGATGACCCCTTGATGATTGTACTTAAGTGTTTGATTTAACTCTAAAGTATCAAAGTTATACCAAATTTGTCGTATTCTACCTATGGTGGATTAATATAATCAATTAATACAAGATCCTAACCTAACCGTACTAATATCATGACGAATAAAAAAAAACAATTTTAACCATTTTTAAATTAGCCTGTAGTCTTCCCAGAGGTCTAATCTACACACAAACATTCATTTATATATATATATATAATATATTTATTATATTGACAAAATATAATAATATAAATCAACAAACATGTCCGATTAACCAGTAGCAACCAATATATAATACACTGTTGCGCCACTGTTGTATTTTTTACATAAATATTTTCTACTTTTCTGGTGGATTTTCCTAAAATTTTTTTTCGTAAAAACCTTCTCCTGGCAATTATGAACATCTTAAAAAAAATTTGAGCCAAATCGGACCAGCCTTTCTCGATTGATGAGGTAACGACCATTTTGCACGCTTCATTTTTAACCTACATAGATTATAATATTTTAGTCTGGTAGGACTCTGCAATTTTTTTTATTTTAACCACTTGTTCAATTTACTCGTGTGTGCGATGGAATTTTTTATATTTACGTACTTATCGATCTTATGAGACTGATTTTAAGGGCTAACTGATTGACTTTTTCAGTTTTAAAATCGGCGAGAGGCGCGGAACGTGGAATATTATGTCGGGCGGGACTAGGTACAACAGTTGGTTATTTATATTTTTATTTTTTAATTTCCCTTTAAACTTTTATTCTTTCGGACTTACTACTGTATAATATTATAAATATAATAATAATAATACACGAAACATACATTATATTTTTTTTTTTTTTTTTATTAATAAAAGCCTCGGCATCTAGGGCCATTGGCTACTACAAATTTATGGGGTTACATTGGAAGGTAGTTACTTAATATTAAACACATGTTATTTTACAGTAGGTTGATTAAATTATAATTGATTATAAATGATATCGTGTTCTGGATGTTGGCTGGCTGAAGGGCTTCGGCGAGAATGTATGAAACTCCTGCTTCCCGTTTTTCTCTCTCAAATTGGCGGCATTCAGATATAATATGCTTGATTGTGAGCTGGGTGCCGCAGCTTGTACACATGGGGGGGTCTTCCTTCCTCATCAGATGCTGGTGGGTTAGCGCTGTGTGTCCGATTCGCATTCTGTTGATTGCCGTCTCTATTTTCCTGGATGTGTTCGATGGAGAGGGCCATGTTAGGGTGGTGTGTTTGATCTCGTTTAGTTTTGTAGAACCTAGTCTCCAAGTCCGGAGCCATAAGTTGTTTGTGATTGTTTTAGATAGAGATTTAGCGTCGTGTAGAGTAAAGGCATTAAGTTTTATAGCGTCCGGGGATGTTATTGCTTGGCGAGCGTTTTCATCGGCTCTCTCGTTTCCCGTGATTTGACTATGACTGGGTATCCATATCAAGATTATGGAGTATCCGGAACTTGTGAGGTTATGCAGTTGATTCTGAATTTTTCTGGCGATTTCGTTTGGAGTGAAGGGGTTTTCTATGCTCCTTAAAGAGCTTAGCGAGTAGCTTAGAATAGCTGCTTTGAGTATGCGTCTTGTTTTGATGAGGTCTAGGGCGTAAGAAATTGCCGTTGCCTCCGCTGAGTATATTGAGCAGAAATTAGGGAGTCTCAGCATTGATACGTGGTCTTTAACTACTACTGCAGCTCCAACACCGATATCCGTTTTGGAGCCGTCGGTGAATATTTCAGTGTGGTCGCAGAGATCGGAGGTGATTGATTGTAGATGTTGGTTAAAAACTATGGGTGAGGTATCATTCTTAACTAGTTCGCTAAGTTCACTGTTTACATGGTTGTTGAATAGCCAGGGGGCCGTCAGAGGGGTTTCATTTTTAATAACATCTAGGTGCGGGAAATGGGTATCATTTAGGGAGTCCGTGATTTGTTTCGCTACTTTGAGATTGTTTTGGGTGCGTCTGATTGCAAGCAACATGGTGCTGTGTACCCTCCTGATGTCGAGTGGTGCGACTCCGGCTATGTTGAGGACGCTGGGGATTGGGCTGGAGCGAAAAGCTCCGGTGACTAGTCTTAAGCCTGTGTTGTGAACGGTGTCTATCATTTTGAGTGCAGATGGCTTAGCTTTTATGAACAGAAAAGAATTGTATTCGAGCTTAGATAGGATGAGTGCCTTGTATATTTGTAGTAGGCTGGAAGAGTGGCTACCCCATGACTTGTGAGCGAAGCATTTCAGAGTGTTGATTCTTATGAGCGACTCCTTTCGGATAGCTTTGAGATGAGGTATCCATGTGTTTTTTGAGTCGAACAGTATACCTAATATTTTTATGGACTTTTTGATGGGGATGTGTATGTTGTTCATTGTTATAGTGGTGATACCAATGTTTCTTTTGTTGGTGAAAAAAGTGCACTGGGATTTTTCAACCGAAAAGGAGAAACCAGATACGAGTGACCAGTCCTGCAGTGTTGTTAGCGTGTCCTGCAAGTGTGTTATAGTTGTCTTGGGACTGGTGCTTCTACAGAAAAAGTTGAAGTCATCAGCGAACAGTGTACATTTTACGGGGGGTGCTATAGCTTGTGGTATATCATTGATTGCTAGAAGAAATAAAGATACCGATAGAGTGGAACCTTGGGGTACGCCGTTGTGTTGTGTGTATAATTTGGATGATTTGCCGTTGCACCTAACTTGAAAGGTTCTGTCGGTCAGGAAGTTCTTTATGAAATTGAATAATTTGTCAATAGATATGATATTTGACAGGATTTTTAATATGCGAGGACGCCATGCAGTATCGTAAGCTTTGGATATGTCGAGGGCTATGAGGCCCATCACTTGTTTCGTCTCGAGAGTGGAATGGATTTCCGCTTGTATATCATGTAGTGTGTTGCTTGTACTTCTATGTCTACGAAAGCCGTTCTGGCGAGGATCGAGCAGATTGTTTTTTTCTAGAAACCATCTAAGTCTGGAATCGATGATTTTTTCCAAAATTTTAACCATGGTATTGAGGAGTGATATTGGTCTATATGATTTGGTTTCAAATTTGTTTTTGTTTGGTTTGGGTATCGGAATGACTATAGCGTGTTTCCATTTTTTAGGTATTGCTCCGGATGACCATATTTTATTGAATATCATGACGATTGACTCCAGGGCGGAAATGGGTAGGTTATGGATGAAGCAATACGGTATCCCATCTGGTCCTGGGGCGAGACTGGAGCATTTTGATGTAGCTCTGACCATTTCAGCTAGTTGGATTGGGGAGTTGAGTTTTGTCTGCTCGTCTAGATTGGGGTTAATGCAGGATGTATAGTGTTGGTTTCTCATGTGGATGTTGTTATTAAGGAACGTTGCATTGTAGTTTTCGTCCGAACTATTTAGATAGAAGAGTTCACCGAAGAGGTTGGGTATTTCGTCGGGGTCAGTACATGATTCTGTGTCTTTCATGATCTGTATGTGGTGGTTCTTGGGGTGCCCATGGATTGCCCTTACTCTGCGCCAAATTGTGGATGGGTCCGTCTTGGGCCCCAGACCGGAGGAGAACGATTTCCAAGATTTGGCCTTGCCGCTTTTAACGAGGTAACGGGTTTTAGCTCTGAGTTGTTTCAGTTTTATATAGTCAGAGGTGCTTTTTGAGATTTGGAATGTTTTAAGTGCTAAGTTCTTTTTTTTGATTGAGTCCTTTATTTCATCGTTCCACCAGGGTACTTGGTTCTTCTTACGCAGGTTTGTGGATTTTCCTATTGAAATTTCTGCGGCCCTGGTAATGGAGTCGGAGATAAACGAGATGTCATCGTCAATTGGGGTGGAATCCGACTGTGTGTTCTCCACCATGAAAGTGTCAACTAGATTGGAAAAGAATCCCCAGTCTGGGTTTTTTAACAACCATCTGGGGGTGGTAGATGTAGATAGAGTCTTGGTGGAGAGCAGGGTCATAAGAATCGGTAGGTGGTCGCTGTCATACATCTCCTGTAAAACTGACCAAGAAATTCTTTGGGCTAGCGATGAACTTGAGATGGACAGGTCAATTGCAGAGAAGGTCCCATTTGAAGGGTTGAGCCTGGTTGATTGGCCGTTGTTGAGGAGTGCTATTGAGTCACTATCTAGAATTTTTTCGATTGATTTGCCTCGGGAGTCCGTTTTTTCAGATCCCCAATGGACACTGTGGCTATTGAAGTCCCCGAATAGAATGAAGGGTTTGGGTAGTTGTGTGATGATGCTGTCTAGATCGGATGTTTTGAAGGGTGTTTGGTTTGGAATGTATATGTTACATATTGTGATTTTGGATTCCAGTGTTAACTGGACCGCGATAACTTCAAGGTCTGACTGGATTGTGATCTGTTCGCTGGGATAGTCGGAGTGTATTAGAAAGGCGACGCCTCCGCTGGCCCGAGTACAGTCTGGGCGGTTAGCATAAAAGATTTTGTAGTTTTTAATGCTAGGTATTTTGTCGTTTTTTAGGTTTGTTTCTTGGAGGCCAATGCACATGGGTGAGTATTTTTGTATAATTAATTGTATATCGTGACGTTTTTTGTTAAAACTATTTATATTCCATTGTATTATGTTTAGGTTCTTCATTGTAGATATTGTATTATAAAAGTGGTGTTTGTCTATTTGTGGATTATTTTTATTGGGATAGGGAAGTGTCGGTGGGGACAGCTGAAAGAGACGAGAGAAGTGTTTTAGCTAGTCTCGTAAGTCTATTCTTGATGCTAAGGTTATTAATTTTCGGGCGCACCGTGTCGATAATTACAATCATTTCCATGGTTGAGATGTTGAGTGCCTCTACGATGTGGGAGGGGTTTGGCTCGGAAAGTGTGTTTTCAATGATGTATTTAAATTGATTGTAGTTGATTTTTAGGTTTGGGATATTTTCAAAAGCCTTTTTTGCGGGAAGTAGCGCTTCATCAAGTTTCAATATTATCTGCTCAATCGAGTTTGTGCGTTTTGGTTTTTTTTGAGGGGGTTGTGGGTTTTTGGCTGATTCTTTTAATTTGGTTTCGAGTATACCGTTGGTGGTCCGTGTCCTTACGGTTTCTGTTTGGGGAGGTGTAGAAACGGTTGGGGTTTTCGCGATAGACGTGTTATCCTGGCAGCTGGAGCTAGATGTTGATGGTGCGGGTCTTTTTTCCTGGACGGGTGATTCCTGTGTGGCTGGTGAGTTGGTTGTTGTTTCCTTGAGGTTTTCATCGGTGTATGATGTATCCATGGTGGTGGGGGAGCTATCTGTGTTTTGGGTTGTCTTTTCGTTGATGTCCATGATATTTTTAGGGTTGTTGCCGAGAGTTGGTGCGGCATTATATTCTGGTGTATTTTTACAGTGGTTTGAAGTGTGGCCCGTTTGTTTGCACGAAAAGCATGTCACAGTGTCATCCGATAAAAATATGCGGTATTCCGTTTGATCGAATTGTAATAAAATCGAGCTCGGAATTTTGTCGCTGTGTTCAGGGTGTATATATAGTTGACGTCTGAAGCTGCCTATGTGACCGAACTCGTCGTTAGAAAAACCGGCCTTCATGAACGTGATCGGTGATAGCATTTTAATTGAGAGATTGTTAATTGCTTTAGCGATTATGTCGTGTGGGATTATCGGTTGGACATTGGATAGTATTATGCGCTTGGCTGGGTTGATAAGGCGGCGATACGGTATTTCGGTGTTGTTTATTGTTATGTAATGTTGTTTTGCTATGATTTGCTCGACGATGTTTTTGTTTGCGAAGTATATACAGAACCTATTGTTCGACACTCGAGATGCGAATTTTATATTGTTTGGTGGCGTAAGTGAGCTGAAAGCTTTAATGTATTCTATCTGTGGTACATCTTGGATTGTGTTGAAAATTATAGCTTGGTCTTTTTTCGGGAAGGAGACGTTTGCGGTTGTTTCGGCGAAAGTTTTTTGCGTGTTTGGTTGAGGTGATTTTAGTTTGGAAAGAGGTGGGTTGATATCAGGGTCGTCCGACATGCCGGATGATCGCGTGAGTGCTATGTCTAATTGGTTAAGGGGGGCCGTAATTAAAGAGCATACCTTCTTAATTGCGGTGAAGTTCTCGTAGTTGCTATCGGAAGCTAAAAATGCGATAAGCGACTGACGGTAACACACGTGTGTATCGGTCGGCTGTGACACACGTACTATATACATTATATTGTTATGTTCGACTACCGGGGTTATACAGACGACTTACTTGTACATCATGCGAATATATACACGTGGCGACGACGTTACGTGAGCAAACCAGTGTAAATATATATATATATATATATATATATATATATGCGTGTGCGTGTATAAATATATTACAGTAGTTATCCCATCTGGTTGACTGCAAACTCTCAGCTAATCAGTAATGCTGTACGTCACACACGTACATAATAATAATTGTACCTACACGGTGTTTGGTTTTTCGGGAAATAAATAAGCATCACATCTCGTGGCTTTACGTGGTAGGTATACCTACCTACTTGATGTACGTTCGTTTTCACCGCCAAGATCCGCCTGTTAACAATAAATAGTAAATACCACTATAGTCATTGCATTATATTTTGACATTGTGTTAATGACGTGGTGTCAATTAATCATCACCACGAGTCTATATTATAATACACACTCTTTAAGTCGGAATAACGCGCATTACCGCCGTCGAACTTATCTCGAGTGCGTTTTGCATAATATTATAATTTAATATTCCTATTGTATATATATACAATATAAATCAGACGATTGAAATAAATATTACAATACAAATAATAAACACCTTGTAATGTATCTGAGTGTTTTACTTAATAACAAGTCGTAGGTCTTTAGGTTCTCTTATGATATATTATAGTTTGTATAGGGCGATAAGTTGTGGTTTTCAGAAATAACATTGAAACTAAGAGATCGTGTACAATGATTTCTATAATATTATGTATGGTAGGATTTATCTTGAAAAGCAATACCCCACCTAAACAGCGATTATGAACTTGCAGCTAATATCTGAAAATCACTGTCCTTCAATCAATAAGAGATGATCTATAAAAAAGAAAATTATTAAAATCAATCATAGTTCTACCCTTGAAAATATTCTTTTTACAAATCAAAAGTGACTTGAATACGACGATTTCTAATAACAATAACAGTCGAGCTATTATACAAAATGTAAGTACAACTAATTCAAATATGAAGGAGTGGACAAGATAATTTGTAGAGAGAATAAAATACACTATTACCTATTACATGATAAAAATATTAGAATACCTACTCATTATGATGTAACATATAACGTGATTCATAATACTTTTTTTTATTTCGCTGTATAAGTAGCTCTTTTTTTATTGAATTCAACCCCGGCGACTATGATCATTAGCTCTTGTAGGAGATTATGTCATTATGAACTAAGGTTGGTAAGGTTGGTACTACTACGGTAAGTGCTGTTACGATTTTTACTGTAGGTAAGCAAACACGGCAAGGTTTTTACTATCCACTACAAACCCGAGTGGTCACCCATCCGGGAGCTAGTAGTATTGGGCGTTACTTGCTCTCACTCGCATTCCGCGACTGCAGGTAGCATCTAAACGTGCAGCACCAAGCCACTTAAGTAGTTCATCATAATAAAAAATACAGTTTGATTTATTCTTCATATGCATAATATAGTAATATAAATTTGTTTTTTTTTTTTCATTTAAATTATGCAACATAAACACAAGTAGGTATATAAACATACTACTATACTAACCTAGCTAATGTATTACATAGGTATCATAGTTTTTCAAAATTATGCTTTTAATACGATAAATATATATTTTATTATGTTTGGTTACTAAGCATACAAACATTATCAAATAATATAATATAATGTCACATAATATGGTTCAAGATATTTGATTTGACGATAAAGAGCAATAACAATTATGAAATTTAATATTTTAAAATATAAATGGATGAGCCAGTTGTACATTCGTTTGGTTACAGTTGATAAGAACACAATAATAAAAAGATAACTTACAATAGAAAATAACATGGAAATATTTGTCTGTAAAATAAGTGATAAAATTGCAATTAAATAACAAGGTTCATATAATATTATTAAATATTATATTATAAGAAGTTCAACAAAGTAAAATATTAAAACTCGTTCTACAGCACTATAGCCTCACCCATTTCCATTTAACGGGCATAAACCAGCTAATATAAATCTCGTCACGTAAAAACGAATAAAATTATTTATTGTGTATTTATTAATATTTATATGTATTTTACATGTCCAAAAAACCCAAAATTATGTTCTGTAGTAGTTCAACCATTCACACGCAATGTTTTGTAAAATAATTATGTTTTATTAATCAGTCGATTAACAAAAAAAAAAAAAAAAATATATTATTTATTTCAAAACAATACATTAACGCCATTAACGATTCGTTTAGTACTTGCTTGGAGAAAGAATGGAAATATTTTTAATTATAGTTAATTACTATGGAGAAATTTTCATGATTTTTTTCCAACCCAATTACCTATGTAATTCATTAACAACCATTAATTATATTTTGATTGCTATTATTTAATACCTATCATGATTATTGCAACAAGTAATAATTATTACAATTCTTATTGCTGCAAGCTTAAGGAAATGCATCTTGTCGAATTCACGAAAACATTTGTTGGCTGAGAGCAAATCTATCAAAAAAGTGTGGTAATTTTTTTTCAAATTAACTATATTATAAAATTATGAGTATAAACAAATAATAGTACCCTACGACAAACAATAATAATGTGATAAGTGCGATTATAAACCTGACAGTGAATCGTTTGATCATTAGGTATACCAAACAGATGTTTAATTTAAAATACCTATATACCTTCTGTACACGGCTTTTAGTTTACTGTAAATTGTAATGATATACTATTAGGCCAATTTATTTATTAGGCCAGTAGGCACCACACCAAACTGCCATGGCCCATCATGTTCTGGAGTTAAAACTTGTTTGTTTTAAATCGTTTCAACTCCGATCGGGCGTAATTGGAAAAGCTCGGGTCTAAAACTTCCACATTCGATTGTCCTGTTTCATCATAATAATTTAATAATGCCTTTGCAGCAACTATATAGTAATCTGTCTCGGACTAAACCGAAACTATATTATTATGTACCAATGTAGTATACGTATCGCCTAAGCCTATATAGTATCGAAATACAAAACATCCACAGTCATAATACAATTTTTTATAGTATTATATTATTATATTAACATCACATTCCGCGTCAGTGACATCAACGTCTGGTGTACATGGAGCTGATCAACTTTTACACTTTTACACATTAAATACGTACTAGCACAGATAGATAGCTGAAAAGTGTTAATACTTTTAGTACATTATTGAATATTTTAAATATAATTTAAGACTTTTTGAGCGGCTATCGTAGAGCATTAAAATAATTTTTAAATTTTCTTAACATTTCGGGGGGGGGGGGGGCTGCAGCTCCTTCAGCCCCTCCCCTGGCTATAAATTTTTATTTTTTTTAACCATTTGCGTCAGTTTTAACTGTTTTAAGTTTTTTAGAAATGAAAATTGTATTAAAATTTAATTAGAAATATTGGAATACAATAATATTGCTTTATACTCAGTATCAAATTGGTATTATTCTACTGAAATGTGCACGTACTTTTAATTTGGTAATCAGTAGCAGTGCCTTCCTTTATATTTCTTTTTTAAATGATGACAAGCCCGGGTCAAGGGGTATAGGTGACATAGGCTCACGCCTAGGGAGGTACTTCAGCAGGCAAGCAGCACTTTAGTAAGAGGACGGTATTTTCAAAATACTGATAACTGATGATATTATATTGTTAGGGGCGGTAAAATTTGATTTTGCCTTGTTCACCATTTTCACTTGAGCCGGAATGATGATATATTAAATACCCGAATACTGAATATATAGTTTTTCATATATTTATCAACAAGCATTATTATAATGTACTTGAGTAAATATGGATCGTTTCAATATCCATAAATCATAATATTGGCGAGACTTGGCCAATACAAGTCCGTTTGTCGCGGAGCAGTGGACAAAATGAAATTGTATTGCTACGCCGACCCACTTCGTTGGAGTGTATGAGGTCGTTCAATCTGGTGGAATTCTCTCTGCAGTCTGAAAAACGCGTGGCAGCTTGTCTTTACTATTATTATTTTTATTATTACCATTATTTCTTCGAGGTCTTAGTCGATGCATTGTCGCGTACGGGTCCCATCGGAGCTTACCCGATTTAGACTTGGTATTTTGAATTTCATCATGTGCTTATGTAAACCCAGAAATAGTGAAATTTTTATCACGTTCCCGTGTGTCTTGTGCATCGTCAAAATTGCCAAACGCTTTGTTGTTTACCTTTGAGCTAAGCTTGTTCGCTCGTTCTCTGATGTAATTTATTACGGATCAAAGATGGCTGTGTATTATACCGTTCTCGGCGTGAATCCACGTTGTATACTGATCGTCAGATGCGGCGGATTTAATATCTGAAACAGGAACGTTGTTTTTCTCGACAGATGACTGTTTTGTTCTTGGAAATACCGAGTGAACTGCGAATAAAATTGATTAGGTACCTACATGAAACAAAACAATAATAATATTATGTTCAGTTATTTTCCAATAATAATTCAAACGTTTAACTTCTAGAGAATTCCATGTCCCCGCTTTACTATATGCAAAACAACGGCAATTATTATCCATCGTATAATACCTAACCAAACACAAAACTAATTATAATAAAATAAAACAATACCGTAGTAGTAAAACCAGTGTGGTTCTATCTGGCTGCTGTTCGATAAACTGTGGTTCGTGACGAGTGACAACAGGTAGATAAGTCATCAGCAACAAACACAACTTTTGGTCCGTCAACCATAATATAATATTATAGTCATCGCGGGTTCGAATCATTTCAAATTATCCGCCGAAAGACGAAATCTCACATCTCACATATTATATAGGTTAACCTAATATTATTGTGTACATTATCGAATATTCTACTGAAGAGAAGGTGCAAACTATAGACTTGTTGTGGGGATGTGGAGTTGTCGGCAAACACGACACGCGCATCACTAAGTCGCTGACATTTATATTTTTACTATATCGTACAGTAAATTATTATTTTTTTTTCCTTACCGAGATCATCCAG